CAGACCAACTGGTCAGGAACTGACTTTTGGTGCCTGTGCAGCTCCCTCTTGAAGATAGCCAGGGGTCTATTGGTAATCATCCCTTGTGTATGCTGGGAGGCAGTTTAACAGTCTTGGTTCCTGACACTTATTGTGTTGTCTCTTAGCGTACTCATGGCGGCCCTGCTTTTCACTGGGGGATATTGCACCACCTGGTAAGTCTTTTACTTTTGTAGAAAGTGATTTCCGTGTGCAGATTTGGGTCTAGTCCCTCTACTGCATAGTGTTATCTGCAGTTAGGGAGATGAGGTGATTTTTAATTAAAACTTTAAATTGATTGTCAAAAAGGGGGGACCTTTCGCTGATTCAAGCAATGGATTCCAGATCTTGGGGTCTTTTATCTACATTGCATTTTTGCATAGGGTGAGGTGGACATGGGATATGTCGAAGAGAGGTCTGTGCCTTGTGCTGTGCCTGTGTGTACCGCTGCAGCTATTAAGGCAAAGTTTGATGGGAGGGTTGATGTTGGAGTTTAACCCTTTGACTGTTTCGGTCGTATATATACGTCTTACGAGCCACCGTGTTTGACATATTAAAACGCATAAATTCTAGCAGGTTCAAATTAAGCAGGAGAAAGCTGGTAGGCCCACATGTGAGAGAATGGGTCTCCATGGTCAGTGTGCACCATATAAAAAAAAATCGGGGAGCCAGTGGTGCATTGTGGGAATGCCATTTCAGTAGTCCTTGTTCAGTATGACTAGCAGTAAGAAATATGTGACTCCCCGACAAAGCTGGGACTCTACTCTTCCCTAGTGATGCTCAAACACAGATGGAAGTGTCAGTGATGATCAATTTCATGGTTTTGAGGAGTTTTTGACCAAAAGCAATGCCCCGGATACCAGAAGAATGAAGGAGAATGAAGAATGAAGGAGAAGGAAGAATGAAGGAGAAGGAAGAATGAAGGAGAAAGAGGGAGAAAGATAATTAGATAGGATGGAAGGGAAGGGAGCATCCAACCCCATTGTTTTGACAGGCAGTAGGGGGAGTGAGTATGAGACAATATGTCATTTTGACAGCTGCTGACCCTGACTCAAAACAATTAGAAGCAAAGAATGAAGGAGAATGAAGAATGAAGGAGAATGAAGAATGAAGGAGAATGAAGAATGAAGGGGAATGAAGAATGAAGGAGAATTAAGAACGAAGAAGAATGAAGGAGAATGAAGAAGGAAGAATGAAGAAGGAAGAATGAAGAAGAAGGAAGAATGAAGGAGAAGGAAGAATGAAGGAGAAGGAAGAATGAAGGAGAAGGAAGAATGAAGGAGAAGGAAGAATGAAGGAGAAGGAAGAATGAAGGAGAAAGAGAGAGAATGAAGGAGAAGGAAGAATGAAGGAGAAAGAGAGAGAATGAGGGAGAAAGATAATTAGATAGGATGGAGGGAAAGGGAGCATCGACCCCACTGTTTTGACAGGCAGTAGGGGGAGTGAGTATGAGACAATATGTCATTTTGACAGCTGCCAACCCTGACTCAAAACAATTAGAAGCAAAGAATGAAGAAGAATGAAGAATGAAGGAGAATGGAGAATAAAGGAGAATGAAGGAGAATGAAGAATGAAGGAGAATGAAGAATGAAGGAGAAGGAAGAATGAAGGAGAAAGAGAGAGAATGAGGGAGAAAGATAATTAGATAGGATGGAGGGGAAGCCAGCATCCAACCCCATTGTTTTGACAGGCGGTAGGGTGAGTGAGTAATGAGACAATATGTCATTTTGACAGCTGACTCAAAACAATTAGAAGCCACACACTCACAAGACAGGTTTGCTGAATGAAGATAATAGCAATTATATGAAAGTATCCAGTGACTACATATGTGTATATATATTATAGAAACCAGAAGGAAGGAAGTAGGGAAGGAAGGAAGGATGAGATAAAAGGAAGGAAGGAAGGAAGGTAGGAAAGGAATGCAGGGAGGAAGGAAGGTAGGAAAGGAATGCAGGGAGGAAGGAAGGTAGGAAAGGAATGCAGGAAGGTAGGAAGGAATGATGACACACGACCATTTACCTAGGATAACTACGTAACACAACTGCCTGCTAATGCCCACAAAAATGCAGACACACTCGTTTTATGTGTAAGGAGTGTAAAACATTAATGTGTGTGAAACCATGTTTCAAAGAGTTCCACAAGCTGCAGAACTTCTAGGAACATGTCCACTGACTGCACATTTGTATATATATTATAAAACAATAGTAATAAAAAATGTTTTGTATTGTTTGTTTGTATAAACAAGTTTTGTAAACAATATATTGATAATTATGTTTGTGCACTTATTGTGTTGTATACGAGTGTATATATGTACATTGCACCTTACTTTGGACTCACAGGCCACATAAGTTATGTGAAAAAATAAAATAGTGAAAAAAAAAACAAGAAACCTTCGAATACAAGTAAACCAAAGTTTACCGGGTGAGCGGCAGTCGCCGCTGTTGCCATACATGGCTCATTCTCTACCAACTTCACACCTCTATATCTCAATAAGTACTGATGGCAAAAAAAAAATTTTTTTTGGACTAAAACAATCAGAAAAATAATCTTAACATTTTCATAAGAAAAAATAATTCTTTTTTTCGAATATTTCTCGACACCAGGAGACACTTCAGGATTGGGGCTTGAGACAGTCAAAGGGTTAATGTTCTATATATAATAAGCACAGTAATATGAGTGCATATTTTTGCACATTAAGTACATTTAAACTCTTGAAGAGTGGGGAGGGGGGATATTTTTAAAAGCACGCTCACAGATATAGCTTGCGAGCACTGTACAGTATTTCCTGTCATCTGCTTCTCTCTTATCAATAATAATAAATCTTTCCATCTCTATGATAATTTCTCTTCCTTTTTTCATTATCTTAGTTTTGTCAGCCACATTAATATTCTTCATAATTTCTTTTTTGCTGGATAATAGTAAAGTCGGATGATTTCTGAAACCCATACTTACACACCAATGCACTAATTCTAACTGCAACATGTTTTTTCACAATTTCTTGCATGATCTTCAGAAAAACTGCCTGTTTACTGTGCACTTTAGAGTCCATGATGACTTGGTAAAAGATGGCATAATTAATCCCTTGTCTGTCGCAGCCCCAAATCCTGAGGTGTCTCCTAGTGTTGCAAAATTTAAAAAAAAAAAATTTTTTTTTCTTATGAAATGATAAGAGAATCTTTTCCCGATTGTAATGACACCAAAAGAACGAAATTTGATGGAAAACTGATGGAATTACGCTCTTGTGAAGTTAGCGACCTCGGCGATATTTACGAATCGACAATTTCACCCTTTTTGAGCCCTGTTTTCGGCTAATTTCATTTTTCCAGTCGACCAAACTCATAGCTATTTCTTTAGAACTCCATTTTTTTCTATTGACTGAGTACAAGAAACTGCCCATTTACCAATTTCAACCACCCAATAACGTGGTCAGAAATTTGCAATTTGGCCAATTTCACAAAAATTAAAAAATATGACAATTTCAAAATAGGGTCCAGAATGAACAATGCAGACATTCCTGGCTCTAAAATAACATTTTCTTTGTCCATCAGTCATGTTTCCAGGCTCTTCTGATATTACTCTTGCTTTTTATTTTGAATTTTTATTCAAACAAAAAATAGAAGATTTACTGTTATGCAGACTACTGCAATATTGTAATAATTGTATAAATAATGTCAACTCATTCATGACTGCATATAAGAATGGCTACTTGGACATTTATTGGAAAATGACATCATTTGTTTAATTTTGAACATCAGCAAAAATCAAGCATTTCCCATATTTTGAACTCCATTTCAAGGTTCTTTCCATAGTAAAAGCAATCAAAATCACCTCTATTTCTATAATACGTTTCCCATTCTATCAAATGAGACCAAGAAAACGAAAATACAACCACTAATACTATACGAAAATAGACCACAAATTCGGCATTTTAATTAAAAAAAAAACGGTCAGATTTTTTCTCATTATGTACTGCATGCTGCAGGATTTTTTTTTATATGGTGCACAATGACCACACAGACCCATTCTCTCACATGTAGGCCTACCAGCTTTCTCCTGCTTGATCTGAAGCCGCTAGAATTTATGAGTATATATACGACAAAAACGGTGGCTCGTAAGACGTATATATATATATACAGTACCACCAAAACAGTCAAAGGGTTAAATCACAGATGCAGCAATAAAGGGGTAAATAATTCAGAGTTGGTGCACAAAACACACGTGACAGCTTTAAACTGAAGGGAAAACAATAAAGTACAGTGGAACCTCAAAAATCGAACTGCTCCCAACACAACCAATTATGTAAGTGTATTTTTGTAAGTGCTTTTATAAGTGCATTTTTGAGGGTCTGAAATGGACTAATCTAATTTACATTATCCCTCATGGGAATAAATTCATTCGGTAAAGGCACTCGAACAGCCTTCTGGACCAAAGAAAGTTCGATATTTGAGGTTCCACTGTATAACATAAACGCTGTTACTGGCTGAGATGCTACCCCACGGAAATTCATTCCAAAAACTGACTGGTTGCTAAGATACCCCACACACACCCCCACTGATGTTCCTATTGGCTCAGATGCTGCCCAAGATGCCCAAGATGATTGGCTAAGGCCCACCCATGCACACCAACCATTTCTGTATGCATATTGTGTCTCAAACTTTCCATCACAACTCAAAATTAAATTCCTTTATGAGGGTAAATCATAACTCAAAATTATCGTAACTCAAAGCCATTGTAACTCATGGAATCATTGTATTGCATATTTGGCAAGTCTTGCAGCGTTGCATATCGTAGCATTTCAACTTTTAAAATCTGTATATATTTAGGCTGATATATGTTTTACTGTACAAGACAACTGTCAAAACTGCTTTTCAATGACTTTTTATTCACTATATAAGTGATACCAATTATTCACTATATAAGTGATACCAATTATTCACTATATAAGTGATACCAATTTTTATAAAAAGCAATTATGTACTAACTTGCACAACACAACCTGATGTCTCACAGTGATCCCAATCATCCCCTTCCTCGTCCTCTTCCTCTTTGTTCTTCTTATAGGTTGGTTCAGGCTGTGAACCTTCAGGGAGTACTAATGTACCATTATCTTGCATATAGGCCAGAACCTCTGGTGTGAGTGGTACAACAATGCTGGTAAATAAAAGAATAATGGTGTATTACCTAACCTTTTAACATGCATTAATGCTAATAAACAACAACAATAATAATAATAATAATTATTTTTATTATTTTATTATCACACTGGCCGATTCCTACCAAGGCAGGGTGGCCCGAAAAAGAAAAACTTTCACCATCATTCACTCCATCACTGTCTTGCCAGAAGGGTGCTTTACACTACAGTTTTTAAACTGCAACATTAACACCCCTCCTTCAGAGTGCAGGCACTGTACTTCCCATCTCCAGGACTCAAGTCCGGCCTGCCGGTTTCCCTGAATCCCTTCATAAATGTTACTTTGCTCACACTCCAACAGCACGTCAAGTATTAAAAACCATTTGTCTCCATTCACTCCTATCAAACACGCTCACGCATGCCTGCTGGAAGTCCAAGCCCCTCGCACACAAAACCACCTTTACCCCCTCCCTCCAACCCTTCCTAGGCCGACCCCTACCCCGCCTTCCTTCCACTACAGACTGATACACTCTTGAAGTCATTCTGTTTCGCTCCATTCTCTCTACATGTCCGAACCACCTCAACAACCCTTCCTCAGCCCTCTGGACAACAGTTTTGGTAATCCCGCACCTCCTCCTAACTTCCAAACTACAAATTCTCTGCATTATATTCACACCACACATTGCTCTCAGACATGACATCTCCACTGCCTCCAGCCTTCTCCTCACTGCAACATTCATCACCCACGCTTCACACCCATATAAGAGCGTTGGTAAAACTATACTCTCATACATTCCCCTCTTTGCCTCCAAGGACAAAGTTCTTTGTCTCCACAGACTCCTAAGTGCACCACTCACTCTTTTTCCCTCATCAATTCTATGATTCACCTCATCTTTCATAGACCCATCCGCTGACACGTCCACTCCCAAATATCTGAATATGTTCACAGATATTTGGGAGTGGACGTGTCAGCGGATGGGTCTATGAAAGATGAGGTGAATCATAGAATTGATGAGGGAAAAAGAGTGAGTGGTGCACTTAGGAGTCTGTGGAGACAAAGAACTTTGTCCTTGGAGGCAAAGAGGGGAATGTATGAGAGTATAGTTTTACCAACGCTCTTATATGGGTGTGAAGCGTGGGTGATGAATGTTGCAGCGAGGAGAAGGCTGGAGGCCTACAAGTACATGTACAAGGTATACAGGCCTAGATAACATCAATGACATACTACTGCATAGAAAGCCCCTTGTTATGCAGAGCATTTCAGGCAAATTAGGTCAATTTTGTCCCAGGATGTGACCCACACCAGTCAACTAAAACCCAGGTACCCATTTTACTGATGGGTGAATACTAGGCACCAGGTAGTATCTTACAGAAATATGTCCAAATGTTTTCAGGCATACTGGGGATCAACCTCCGGACCATAGTGTGTGAGATGAGTGCGTTAGCGATCACAAATTATCATATATAGTAACATGTGTAAATTACCTAGGATAAATCAAAAAAGTCAGACAAAGTGACTAATTTCCATTAATAGAGATTCTATTTCATCCATGTTATTGCACAATGGATATTCCCATTAATGTTAAAATCTAAATAACAATAATTCATGTTCAAAACTAAAACCATGCAAGTTGTTTATCCCAAGATGTGATGTAGGCTTGATCCTGTCTGCTGTGTGAGAGACAGATGCACTTCCTATTGTACTAAAGCTAACAGATATAAAACTAGGGTTAATGTTGTACGTATATACAGTAGGGCCCCACTTTACAGAGTTCCGCTAATACTGACATTTCAAATTATGACCAAAACTCGCTATAGGGCTCCAACACCTGTCTTTCTAATACAGCCACTGCACCCCACCTGGTTTGTTTACATTCTCCATGTGCTCCGTGAGCATCATGTCTCTCCATTATGTCTGGAAACTTTCCAAAATTTCAAGTGTTTTAAGGTTATTTCATCTTTATATATACTCTGATAATTATACTTATGTATACCTGTACCTAAACAAACTTACACACTGTTCTGGCATGCAGGTACACATTAAAATCACTAAGTGTGTCTTATTAGTTTTGATGCCATATTACTACTAATAATAATATACACTAATAATCACTCTAGTTCAACAGCAAAGAAATTGTGTACACAATAATATTACTAGGGGTAACTGTAGAAAATTATTCCTTTTGTATGCCTTCACTCAAAGTGTCATTTCATCTAAAAATGGTGTTACATGAGAATGGGAGTGTTGCTCTTTATTTATTCTACTGTACCAACATGGAGACAGCTTGTACATAATGTAAAGTGCTTGTATTATGGTATAATACAAACATGAAAGTCAGGAACGTAGGAAGTCAGGTGTGGGGAGGTATGGTAGCCAGCCAGGCCACCCCACCTCATCCACTCATAATAAACTAAGACATTTAAAGCATCCCAGAGCGATAAAATGCATGTACAGTTCACTCATTACTTACCTTAAAATATTTGTAGTCTTAATGTAGGGTGAGAGGCGAGTAATTGAGATAAAATGAATAAATGGAGGGAGGGGGGAGGGGGGGGAGGGGGGGGAGGGAGGGAGATATATTATTATATATATATATATATATATATATATATAATATATATATATATATATATATATATATATATATATATATATATATATAGAGAGAGAGAGAGAGAGAGAGAGAGAGAGAGAGAGAGAGAGAGGAGAGAGAGAGAGAGAGAGAGAGAGAGAGAGAGAGAGAGAGAGAGAGAGAGAGAGAGAGAGAGATAGAGAGAGATATATATAGAGAGAGAGATATATAGAGAGAGAGATATATATAGAGAGAGATATAGATATATATATATATATATATATATATATATATATATATATATATATATATAGAGAGAGAGAGAGAGAGAGAGAGAGAGAGAGAGAGAGAGAGAGAGAGAGAGAGAGAGATAGAGATATAGAGAGAGAGAGATATATATATATAATATAGAGAGAGAGAGAGATATAGAGAGATAGAGAGAGAGATACAGAAAAGAGAGGATAGAGATACAGAGAGAGAGAGAGAGAGGATAGAGAGAGAGGATAGAGAGAGAGAAAGAGAGGATAGAAAGAGAGGATAGAGAGAAAGAGAGGATAGAGATAAAGAGATAGATATAGATATAGATATATAGATAGATATAGAGATAGAGATAGATATATATATATATATATATATAGAGAGAGAGAGAGAGAGAGAGAGAGGGCAGAGACGCAGGGTATATAAACAGATAAACACGTCTGGTTTCGGTTCATAGTAAGTTTATTCAGGTGTACACAAATACAGTTACATAGATTATTATACATAGCAGCAGATGGAGTTTACCTGGAGAGAGTTCTGGGGGTCAACGCCCCCGCAGCCCGGCCTGTGACCAGGCCTCATGGTGGATCAGGGCCTGATCAACCAGGCTGTTACTGCTGGCTGCACGCAATCCAGTGTATGAACCACAGCCCGGCTGGTCAGGTACTGACTTTAGGTGCTTGTCCAGTGCCTGCTTGAAGACAGCCAGGGGTCTATTGGTAATCCCCCTTATGTATGCTGAGAGGCAGTTGAACAGTCTTGGGCCTCTGACACTTATTGTGTCATCACTTAACGTGCTAGTGACACCCCTGCTTTTCATTGGGGGGATGTTGCATCGTTTGCCAAGTCTTTTGCTTTCGTAGGGAGTGATTTTCATGTGCAAGTTTGGTACTAGTCCCTCTAGGATTTTCCAGGTGATATAATCATGTATCTTTCCCGCCTGCATTCCAGGGAATACAGGTTCAGGAACTTCAAGCACTCCCAGTAATTGAGGCATTTTATCTCGGTTATGCATGCCATGAAGGTTCTCTGTGCATTTTCTAGGTCAGCAATTTCACCTGCCTTGAAAGGTGCTGTTAGTGTGCAGCAACATTCCAGCCTAGACAGAACAAGCGACCTGACGAGTGTCATCATGGGCTTGGCATTCCTAGTTTTAAAGGTTCTCATTATCCATCCTGTCACTTTTCTAGCAGATGTGACTGATACTGTACAATGTGAAGGTGAGATCCTCCGACATGATCACTCCCAGGTCTTCGACGTTAGTTTTTCGCTCTATTGTGTGGTTGGAATTTGTTTTATACTCTGATGAAGTTTTAATTTCCTCCCATTTACCATATCAGAGTAATTGAAATTTCTCATCGTTGAACTTTATATTGTTTTCTGCAGCCCATTGAAAGATTTGGTTGATGTCTGTAATGGAAGACACTGTCATGCAGATTCAGGTGTCATCTGCAAAGGAAGACACGGTGCTGTGGCTTACAGCCCTGTCTGTCAGATATGACGATGAGGAACAAGATGGGAGCGAGTACTGTGCCTTGCGGAACAAAGCTTTTCACTGTAGCTGCCTCAGACTTTACTCTGTTGACTATTACTCTTTGTGTTCTATTTGTCAGGAAATTATAGATCCATCTACCAACTTTTCCTGTTATTTCTTTAACACGCATTTTGTGTGCTATTACGCCATGGTCACACTTGTCAAAGGCTTTTGCAAAGTCTGTGTATATTACACCTGCATTCTTATTGTCTTCTAGAACATCTAGGACCTTGTCGTAGTGATCCAGTGGCTGGAACAGACAGGAGCGACCTGCTCTAAACCCATGCTGCCCTGGGTTGTGTAATTGATGGGTATCTAGATGGGTGGCAATCTTGCTTCTTAAGACCCTTTCCAAGATTTTTATGATATGGGATGTTAGCGCTATCAGTCTGTAGTTCTTTGCTATCCCTTTACTGCCCTCTTTGTGGAGTGGGGCTATGTCTGTTGTTTTTAGTAACTGTGGAATGACCCCAGTGTCCATGCTCCCTCTCCATAGGATGTTAAAAGCACGTGATGGGGCTTCTTGCAGTTCATGATGAACACGGAGTTCCATGAGTCTGGCCCTGGGGCAGAGTGCAAGGGCATGTCATTTATCGCCTGTTCAAAGTCATTTGGCATCAGGATAACATCAGATAGGCTTGTGTTTACCGAATTC